TCTTCTCTCTTCTCCATTCCCCCCACCACCCTCCAGATGTTATTGGATTGTGACACCCACCACCTCTAACCAAGATAGCCAAAAGTGAAGAATGCTGGGAAATGTAGCCCAGCAACAACCAAAACTTTGCTTCCCTCTCCCCAGATCTGTGAATTGTCATCCATACATAGCAGGCCAGTGTAGTTCTTGACATCAGAGATCTTGTCCAAGTGAGGTGTAGCATTTTTCTTTTCTTTTTGTTTGCTGAATTGCTGTTGATTAACATAGTATGGGTGGGTGAGTGCCTTTGTAGTCCTACAGCTGAAATATTGAGCAGCAGACCTGTTGGGAAATGAGGTGGAAGTAATTTATGTTTCTAACTCCTTTTTAGAATGTCAGAATTAATTGAGAAGGAGACAGAAGAGTACCGCAAGCGAGATCCAGATCCATTTGATGATAGGCATCCGGGTAATATGTGATGAGAACATACATGGTTGTTCACTGTAATTTCATTCTTGTGGATACTAAAGAGAGCAAGTGAGATAAACCGTGCAGTGGTAACTCTACAAAATATATGTGCTGCTACTGTATCTGAAGCTTTTATCTAAGTTCTGACACATTGCAACAGCTGTTTTACAGATGCATGTAGGTTAGAGTGGGCAGCTCTTAGAGGTTTGGGGACTGCACTAGCTCTCCAGGAGACCTTGGAGGATTGCAACTTCACAAAGAAATTCAAAAATGTTTTAAAAGGGGGGTCATGGGGCTTTTTAAGCACAGGAGAGGCCTTTTTTTTTTAACCAGGAAGTGGCCTGAATTTATTTTTAAACTGTGGTGACTACAAAAATGGCCCTGACTTGCAGGTTGCATTTTCTCTATCTCTGATGTAGAGTGAAAAGGGCAGACAACCCCTTAATTTGTTCTCTTGGATAATACCTGACCTTACAGTAATTTGGTGCAGATTAACCCATCCTGTTTTGTAGCCCTTATTTCTCTAGACAGTTTCTCTAAATCAACATTGTGGCCATGGATGTAACTAAAACACTTAGCCTTTATTTTGGCCCTGTTTCATGTGAAATGTATGAGTCCCTTTTTCCTCCCCTTATCAGGAGTATCCTGGAGAGCTCATGAAGCAGAAACATGTCTTTTAAAAATGAGATGTAAAATGGAACTGGGCTTTGATATTACATTTAAGTCCAGTTTTATTTCAGGAAAGTCTCAGAATAAAGAACAAGAGCTTTCTGCAAAGAAAAAATGGCAGACAGATGAAACTGCCTAGCTATGTCTTAGGTTAAGGGAGATCAACCCCATATTACTGATCACGTATACTAAACGCAGTGAAGTTTGCTAAAAATTTGAGGGATTCTTTTTATGTTGGAGATGTTACACAGATCAAGGCAAGATATACCATGTGATATGGGTCTGCCTTGCTGTATCTGGTTTTGGATTAGATGGATTAAGATAGTAATTCAGTCTTCTCTTTTTGTGTGTGTTCTTTTTTTGCTACTCTTTATGCTATATGCTAGCAAACTGGGTCAAAAAGCTGTAACCAGTAAACTAAAAGTTTATTTTTAAAATAATTTTTTAATTAAAACCTAAAAAAACACATTCAAAACATACATTTCACTTCTTGTTGTACATAATTATCATTTGTCATTAAAAGTTGCATTAGTTTCACCATCATAAATTAGATATCAAATATAATCAGACATACATTTCAAACATTTCAAGTTGTATCTTGATTATCTCACTACATCAATTACTTGTTAATCCATTAAATATAACATTAAAGAAGCTTTTATCTAAGCATTAAAGAATGTTATAATTCTTTCTAATCCATTATAATCTCTT